GTGATCTCTAAATCACACCTGACTTTGAATAAGAACTCTTTATTTCTCTATCTGATCAACCATTTTCTTTTCTTCTCCTTAGATGCGAGATCTGTGGATTCACTTGTCGGCAAAAGGCATCTCTTAATTGGCACATGAAGAAACATGATGCAGACTCCTTCTACCAGTTCTCTTGCAATATATGTGGCAAAAAATTTGAGAAGAAGGACAGCGTAGTGGCACACAAAGCAAAAAGCCACCCTGAGGTGCTGATTGCCGAAGCTCTGGCTGCCAATGCAGGCGCCCTCATCACCAGCACGGATATCTTGGGCACTAACCCAGAGTCTCTGACACAACCTGCAGATGGTCAGGGTCTTCCTCTTCTTCCTGAGCCCTTGGGAAACTCCACTTCTGGAGAATGCCTCCTGCTAGAGGCCGAAGGGATGTCAAAATCATACTGTAGTGGGACGGAACGGGTGAGCCTGATGGCTGATGGGAAAATCTTTGTGGGAAGCGGCAGCAGTGGGGGCACTGAAGGGCTGGTCATGAACTCGGATATACTCGGTGCTACCACAGAGGTTCTGATTGAAGATTCAGACTCTACTGGACCTTAGTAGAAGGGAAGACTTTAGGCACTGGGACAGCTCAGACTTTGTATTTAAAAGATAAAAAGGACAAAAAAAAATTTAAAGCATTTAAGATCTAGTAAAATAACTGAAGGGCCTGCTCTTTCCAATGTGGATCACAGCACACACACATATATCTACTCTCTCCTCCTCCTGTCCCCTTTATAAAATTGATGTTGCCTTTACCAGAAAGGTAGACAAAAAACACAAAGCTTTTAAAGCGAGGGTTATCCTCATGCTCGGTTCCAGCCAGGCAAACTTTCTGCTGATTAGCAGATTCCCTTTCCCAACCTGTAAATCTTACACGTCCTGGATCAGCTTTTAACTCTTAGTAATATATACTGTCCTATAATTCCCTTCTCCTCCTTTACTGCTGCCCTATGGTCTGGCTTCTACCCACTGCAGCACACTTACTCTCAAAGTATCATATAATTCTAATCTCTGGAGGCTGGCAGCTTGACTTGGCACTTTAGGGCCCCTTAGCAGGGTGAGCTGTTAAAACAGCACACATCTCTCACCCCCTTTTCCTCCGTTCCTCACCTGGTTTCAGAAAGGAAGGATACATACATGGGGACCACTTTGACCCCACCACCTCAGTCCTCCTCCCAACACCTTTATATGGCTCTCAGTGGTGCTCACTTGCATGGAAGCAGGCTCCCAACAGGGAGGGGACTGCCCTTTACATGGTCCCTTTGACCATACGACAGGGCTGCATATCAGTGAGACAGAAAAGTCCCAGTTTAATGGCAGAAATTTGCACTTTGAACATGTGTGTTTTTGTGTTGTGGAACCTGAGATTTTTTTTATTTATTAACGGAAAGTCTGATTTTTTTTCTTTTTTTTTGTCTTTGTTGCTATATTTTGTGGGGCTGGGAGAGATTACATTATTCTGACATGGGGTCCTTTCCATAAGAGGTACTTTTGAAGGGAAGATAAAAGGTTGAAGAAGCACAGCCAGCCTCTAAAATCATAGCTCTCCAGTGGCCTTGAAGCTGGTCCTCAGCACTAAAAAAATCACTACAGTAGCTTAGTGCTTTTTCAGAAGCCTTTTTAGGGGAGAATGTTATATTTGTGGTCATTAGTGCTCTGTGAGTTTTTAGAACATTGAGATTTAGGAATTGTGAGGGGATGAGGAAGGTTGTTCAGGGTCTGAATTACAGATACGAGATTTTCTCTTGTGAATTTGTTTTTGTTTTTATTTTGTCCCCATCATTTCTTTACACATACCTCCCTATTGGCCCAACTCTGGCCCCTTGCTTTGTGTTTGTTTTTGTTTTACTTTATCATTGGTTCATTCCAGCTCCCGATTAGTGAAGGACACTGCCAATATTGAAGGAATAGTCTAGGAGCTGTACAAAATAAGTCAAAGAAAATGCTCTTGTTTTGTTTCCTAAATTTAGTAACACTTGAGAAGAAAAAAGACTTCAATAGACAAAATTAATGTAATAATAGGTTTGGCTTCCACCTGAAATCCTTGGAATTACCACTTCCCTTGAAATGGGGATTTTCATGGGATGGATTGCTTATTACTGTGTGTAAGTTCGTAACTCTCAGAAGACAAAAACCTATTTGGGCTCATTTTTAGGGAATTAAAAGGGCAATTTCTGACCTGTTTACCTCAGAAGTTGGAATTCAAGGCTTGCCCTATGCATTGTTTGTCAGAAATGTGTGATGGCTGTTGGAAAGAATGAAGTTTTGCTGAGAACAAAAGGAACAGCTTGTTTTTCACAAACACTAAAACTACAAAGTTTATCAATTTTCTCTTTTGATTTTTTTTCCCCAAGAAGAGGGTAACAAAATGTCATCTCTGAAAGAGGCTTACTTGACACCCACGAGTCTCCATGGCTGGGATACCAGGGAGTGGGGAGTGAGACACCTACAGTGCACAGTCTTAAATGCACTATTGTTTCTCTTCAGCATGTGGCAGCATTGCCATCCCTCCAGTGTGGGGGTAGAAAGGAATACGGATAGAAGGGATGTAGAATGTGCTTTCCTGCCCACAGTAAGGATTTGGAGTTGACTTTGGTATGTTGATTAGATATGAAAATATATATGACTGACTGGGTGGGTCTACAACAAAGTTGTTCTCCCCTCACCACCCTCCCCCATAGAAGTCTGTTTTGTACTGTTTCACTAGCTAACATCCATTCCCCATATTTACCTTTATCTTTGTTACATTTATTTTACCCTTTGTGTCCATAAATTACATCTTTGGTAGTTAGCAATGAGATATTTTAGCCATGTACATGAAAGCAAACTGCATTAAAAAAAAATCTTCATGAGATAGAGGTAAATATGTTCTCACACTCCTTTCCCTGTCAGAGTTCTAATAATTGAAACTATCTGTTCTTTCTCCCTTGTCCTTTTCATTGCTACCATTTGCCTATAATATGCTTCAATAAATTATTATAGCAGTTTGCAATAAACTTTTAAGTATTTTTCATGGACTTTATCTTTTTCCTTTTGAGATGAGGATGCTAGCATAGGAAAGAATTGGTGTATGTACTGGGCCCTCTTCCCTTTTTCTTTTCTGCTTCTCATGCTGTTTACTTGTCCTTCCAAGGAGCTCTTTGAATCTTAAAATTCTGCATTTCCTACTTCTAGTCAATTCTGTTATCTTTTTCCCCCACTGCATATTCTCCATCTTGAATTGGCAATTCTAGATTCTGAAAATGTAGTTGAGATACAAGCATTATTTCTGTGCTTCCCCCTTGTTTGATTGCCCAGGATTATTTTGCATAATTGAGACCTAATATGCTTCAGAAAGTTTAGATAAACACTGGCCAGGATTACTGGGAGTAAAAAATATATATATTAAGGTATGGAAAGGCATCCACATAGAGCACTTGAACCTCCTTTGTACTTGTTTGGAGAAAAAAATATAAAAGAGTGTATTAAATCTGAGGTTATTACAGTCTGGATGTTTGAAATTCCATTTTTCTCTCCTGTCTTTTTCCCACTTACCAATGTACTCAAGAAGATTAAAAAATTGTAATGGATCAATTTAAAATATTTTTATTTCCTTAAAGCCTTTTTGCCTATTGTAATGTGCAGGACCCTTCTCCTTTTATGGGAGAGACAGGTAGTTACCTGAATCTAGGTTGAAAAAGTTATGTAAAAAGAAATTATAATAAAAGGGATAATCTGCTTTTCAAATTCTTGTTTTCTCTTAATCTAGGTAAGACATATCCAAAATAAATATGTAAAGAAGAAAATAAAATTGTCTTCATGGAAGCAACTGGTCTTCCTTGGTTGTACTGAGTTACAGTTGTCCCAGGGTGAAACAATTGATGCTGCTAAATAAGAAAACCAGGTGCCCTCGGAGCAGGCTTTATGTGGCAGATACTGTTTGCTCTGTGGAAAATCGGGGGGTTAACTTTTGACTGTGTTTAGTTCTTGATTTCTAATGCTGATATGCCATGTGATCAGTTGGCAAAGTACTAACTTTAAAAAAAAATCGTATCCTTTTACCTATGTGAAAGACTACTGTGTCAGCCAACCATGCTTCATTTCTTTCTCTTGTTTTCCTCTTTTGTTCACATATGGACATTTGCCCTTGAGAAGGCATGTTTCAATTTAGAGGCAATGTCTATGATAGGAAGTAGTGAAAGCTAATTGATTCATTTGAAGTTGAGACTTGCAACTTCTACCAATTCGCACCATCCTCTAACCTACTGAGTTAAATGCAATAGAATAGCAACTCTACAGCTGCTTTGAAATTCTTTTGCCCTCATTTCAAAGCCCAACTCATTATCTTATTTAGTTAAGAAGCATGTGGTATAACTGTGATAAGGAAGAAAAAGAAAAACGTGTTGTCACTTGAGTGAGGCTGCCTTAGTAATGTTACCCTGTCAGGGTTGGGTGTTTACTGTCCTTTGGAAAAGAACAGGCCTAAACAGTATCTTCCTCATCCTGGAGCTATGAGGAAGGCACTGTGATTGAGATCAGAGATGCCTTCTTAGCTAATTTTTAATCAAATGTAAATTAACTTTAAATACTCCGATCCTAAAAAAAGGATGGGAGTAAAAAGCTGTATTTATTTTAAAGGACCTTTTTCACATAAACTTACTTTCTTGGACAAAATGTGAGCTACCTAGACAATGAAATTGAAAAGTCAGTGGGAGAAACAGATACAGAATCAAAGACCTACATTTAAATTTTGAGCCTAAGTTATTGTATTTTGTGTTCATAAGTTTTTTTTATGTAAGATGAGGTAAATAATATTTATCTCAGAATCATTCTGAAGAGCAAAGGCTTTACAGTCTTGAGCAGTGTCTGGTCCAGGATAGGTTCTTACTAAATCGCAGCCATATCAATAATAATGAATATTATTGAAGACTTTACCAAGCCAAAAAGAAAAAGAAAAGGACATGGGGAGCACAAGGGAGAGTGGTAATAAAGTGAACTGATGATATGTGTATATAAAATAGGTTGCATTAGGTATCATGGGGATTAGTGTGATAGTGACCTTGTTGCTAAGTGCAAAAGCAAAACAATGACATAAAAACAAGTAGGCTAGGCACTCAGTGGAGGAGAGAGATGGAGGCAGACGCTGCAGGAAAAAAAAAGCTGAGTAAAAGGGGCCTTTGATTCCACAGGCACAAAAATCCACAGCCAGGAATTTGCTGCCACCTCTGAGTCAGGCAGGGGGTGGGGGTGGGGAACACCATTCCTTTAGAGAATGCCCAGTGGATTTAGTCTGAGTGTCACATTTCTTATTTGGAACAGTGTAGATAGAAACAAACTCAGCTCACTTGTTTTCCTGGGACAGTTGAGTTAGGGGATGGCTTTCGCAGAGCACTCACCGCTGACCCCTCACCGTCGGGATCTCTGTAGCCGCTCCATCTGGCTAGCAAGAAAGATTCGTTCAGACCTGACAGCGCTTATGGAATCTTATGTAAGTTGCCTATTTTGCTGTAGTCTATTTTGACTTCATCTATTCTGATCCAACCCTTTACCATCATGCTTCAACACCATTACCAATTGTGAAAGCCCTAATACGGTCAGTTGTATAGTGGGCACATATCATTTGATATGGCCCCTTCCCTTAAGGAAACTTACATGAGTTTATTTCCTTCCTCTAGGTTTTTTAGGAGATATGTTCCTGAGTAAGAAAATATCCATGGGTGCTAGGTAGGGTTGGCTATATGTCTTGGAAGCTGTTTCTAATTTGATTGCTTACAATCTGAATTCTATGAGAATAGATTAACTATGAGCCCTTTAAGTTTGGGTTCTTCATATAGGTTCTGAATTTTTGAACTATGTAAATGAAAGGCAGAGTAAGGTTTATAGGATTGGGAGAAGAGCAGTGTAAGCCCAACCAATTTCTCCTATATAGTATTAGCCATCCACTTTTTTTTTAAAATATATTTTATTGATTTTTTACAGAGAGGAAGGGAGAGAGAGAGTTAGAAACATTGATGAGAGAGAAACATCAATCAGCTGCCTCTTGCACATCTCCTACTGGGGATGTGCCCGTAACCCAGGTACATGCCCTTGACGGGAATCGAACCTGGGACCTTTCAGTCCACAGGCCGACGCTCTATCCACTGAGCCAAACCGGTTTCGGCAAGCCACCCACTTTTTAATTACCCCATCAAAAGTGTTTCTGGAGTGCCCTGGCTTGGTTGGTTGGCGCATTGTCCCATGCACCAGAAGGTCGAGGGTTCCATTCCTGATCAGGGTATACCTATGTTTCGGGGTCGATCCCTAGTCGGGGCATGTACAGGAGGCAACCAGTCGATGTGTCTCACATTGATGTGTCTCTCCTTCCATTCCTCCCTCTCTAAAATCAATATAAAAGGAAAAAAGTGTTTCTGGGTCTAAACAGGTCACCTACACTATCAAGAGGATTTCCTTTAAGATTCTCTGGGAAGTGTTATATTCTTCAAACATTAACCATGGGTTCCAGATTGGTTTTCTGATAGTAGGAGATTCTCTACCTAAGAGCTGCTGTGAAAACACTCCAGACCCTGTGGAGAATATCTGCACAGCCCCACCAGTTTTTCCAACTGATTTCCACTGAATCCTCTAAAGCAACGGTTGCCAACCTTTCGGATCTCACAGACCACCAGTGGTTTGCGGACCACCGGTTGGTGACCACTGCTCTAAAGGATTGTCCTCACTACGGAGAGTAGGCAATGGAGAAGAGATAATTAGAAAAATCCTATGGCTACATTCTAGGGCTTCCTCACTGTGGCCAGTGTCTTCAAGTATGTTTAAAATACTTAAAAATTTCAGTATGATTAAAATGGCCAGGAGGAAGTTTGAAGTGGGAAGGACAAGTTACTCCAGACCAGTGGTTTTCAACCTTGAGAACCTAAGGAAAATGGCACATTCTCCCAAGAAAAATAAACAGGTAGTCAAAGCAATTTGTATAATTTAAGGGACAAAAGTATCTCCCAAAAGTCCAATCGTGGACCCTGAATCAAGAGTTTCTGTTCTACATTTTATTTTCTTTATCATTTGGATCCATGACCAGGGAGATGAATAAGATTTTATATGAGATTTAGGGGATTATTTAAGTGAGAATATGATGTTTTTCTGTATCCTTGGCCAGGTGAAGCATCAGGGCCTGAATGAGGACATGGACCTGGATTCCGTGGATGGTGTGCCAATGGCAAGCACTGATCGGTGGAGTGAGCTGCCTGAGGCAGAGCGACTCCTAGAGAACCTCCAAGCTTATCGTACCTTCCATGGTATGTTGATCAGGCTTTTAGATGACCAACGGGTGCATTTTACTCCAGCTAACAGTGACTTCCATCAAGCAATACATACCCTTCTACTCCAAGTTGCTGCCTTTGCTTACCAGCTGGAGGAATTAATGGCGCTCCTGGAACTCAAGATCCCCCCCAGTGTGGCTGATGAGATGCCTGAAATTGTTGGAGATGGTGGTCTGTTTGAGAAGAAGCTGTGGGGCCTAAAGGTGCTGCAAGAGCTTTCCCAGTGGACAGTGAGGTCCATCCATGACCTTCGTGTCATTTCTTCTCATCAGACTGGGATCTCAGCACATGGAAGCCGGTATATTGCTAATGATAAGAAAACATAGTAGTTAGTCCAGCTGGAGTGGCTCGGTTGAGTGTCATCCTGTGCACTAAAAGGTTGCTGGTTTGATTCCTGGTCAGGGCACATACCTGGGTTGCTGGTTCAATCCCTGATTGGGGCACATATAGAAAGAAAGCAACTGATTGGTGTTTCTTTGCGTTCTTGTCCTCTCCCTCTCCCTCTTCCTCTCCCTCTCCCTCTCCCTCTCCGTCTCCCTCTCCCTCGTCTCTGCCTCCCTTCCTCTCTCTAAGCATGTTTTAACTCTAGTTCCAACAACAACAAAAGTAGCAGTTACCCATCTCTCTCTTCCTTTCTTTCCTAATGGAATATTTATAGTTTTCTGAGGCCTCACTTTCCCATTCTTAAGTTTTTTAAAACCTTTGAGACCACAGGCATTTTCATCGAGTAAGGTTGGAGACCTAGACAAATGGGAATACAGGTTTAGTTGGTGGGAGTATGGGGGTGATGCTGGGACCATATGGGAATGGGGTAGGGGCACCATTGTTCCACCTCAATGCTCTAACCTTTCCTACCCACTAAGTAACCTCTACAGACATTTGACATTTAACAGCCTCATAGGGCACATATATATATATATTTTTAACTCTAGTTCTGGAAGACTCTACTAAGAGGACTATAACAGGAAATTAAGAATCATGGACTCTATTCAATTCAAACTCTTGGAAAATAAAGATAGTACCTAACATTTATTGAGTATCTACTATATTGAAGCAATATGCCAGGGGCTTTATGTATATTGCCATTTTTACAACCATGATGAGGGACGTGGTGTTATTCCCATTTGGCAGATGAGGTAACAGGTTCATAGAAACATGTAATTTGTTTGAGATGACCCACCTAGCAAATGGTGCACTAAGTTTGAACTCAGATCTTTCTGATTTCAGAGCCTATATGCCCTTCACTTAGAGGCCGGATAGGAACCTCTATCACTGCACCTTTGCCACAGAGGGTTGGAAAATGGATCCATGGAGTCTACCCCTAGCACTGAAAACAGCAACCCCCTTACAGTAGTCCCACTATCTGCAGTTTCACTTTCCATGGTTTGTTATCCATGGTCAACTGCAGTACAAAAATATTAAATGGAAAACTCCAGAAATAAGCAATTTATAAGTTTTAAGCTGTGTGCTGTCCTGAGTACTGTGATGAAATCTCATGCAGTCTGCTCCATCCCTCCCTGGACATGAATCATTCCTTTGTCCAGGGTAGCCACGCTGTATACACTGACCCACGCGTTAGTCACTTAGCGATCACAGTTATTAGAGATCGCATTCACTTAACGTTTATTACAGGATATTGTTATAATTGTTTTTTTCTTCGTTATTGTTCATTTTTTATTGTTAAGAAAAACCAGGGTTCTCTACTATCTGCATTTCAGGCATCTTCTGGAGGTCTTGGATGACTCCCTATGGATGAGGGGGGGACTACTGTACATGTCCTGAAGGGCACAATGTTAGTGTCAGTGTTTTCCATTCTCGTCAAAGAAGAGAGCAGGAGAGATTGAAGATTCTGCTTGGGGAAAAGATTAGGCCCACCTAACTTCTAAACTCGGGAAGCTGGGGGTGTACGGTAATGCTTCATGCTTCAAAATGTCCACCATTGTTGGTGAGTTTGGGATTGGGCACACATTTATTGTAATCAGCAATGCTGCGATACAGTTACTAACCCAAGCATTCATGGACGATGGGGGGAATACTGCTCAGGTTAAAAAGTCACAGAGCTACTTCACCACACATTCTCTGGACTTAGTCATGAGGAGAGAGTGAGGCCCACTCTGTTCCCAGTGGGAAAGCCAGTGATACTAAAACAATACACAGCAAAGCCTCCATGCTTCACAACAAAGCAGCAGCACTCTGTGTTTAATGTCTTTGAGGGAAAGCGTAGGACACGCGCCAACCAGTAAACGAGGGCATTAATGGAAAAGTTCACTGGCAGTTGGGCCTATGAACTAGTACAAACGGGAATCCAAAAGTTCTCAGGTAGGTGTATCATTTCATAACACCAATCAATTCAGATGCAAGACCTTGGATTGGGGGATCCAAATAAATTTCATATACCTATTTGAAGTTTTTTGTATTCTTAAATGAGCCATGTGTCAGAGAGAGCTAGCTCACATAGATAGTATCAGATGGAATGGGTGACTTACCTTGTGTCCTTTCCCACATGGGTGTATGAAGTCAATATGTGAAAACTCTGTGGTAGGAATTAAGGCAGTACAAGGGAAGCAAGGCCCCGTTGTTTAGTATGGAAACAAAGTTGTATGCATATAAGAGATCAATAGTAGGTTGGAGTAGGGCATGGGTTTAAATGTTACGGAATTAAAGGAAGGAGCTCACCCTTTCCAGTTTGGCTTAGTGGATAGAGTGGCCCGCAGACTGAAGGGTCCTGGGCTCGATTCCAGTCAAAGGCATGTACCTTAATTGTGGGCTTGATCCCCAATGTGGGATGTGCAGGAGGCAGCTGATGTGTTTTCTCTCATCAATGGTTCTAACTCTCTATCCCTCTCCCTTCCTTTCTGTAAAAATCAATAAAATATGTTTAAAAACAAGAAGGAGCTCAATGAGGACCAGAAATCACTTATTCCTGGAGGAGGGAGGAGTTAGTTGTGCCTCAGTGGTTGGATGAGTATCAAATCAATAGAAATCAAGAGAGAAACAGGAAAAAGAAGAATGTGAGGCAATAATATCCCTAGAGGACCAGCCACCCCCTTGAGGTTTATTGTTTGGTTTTATTTCATTTGTGATTTTGTTGTAGGTCGATAGTCCCTAGTGAGTGCATAGAGGTTTATTTAATTCAAGCTTTTCCTATTTAAATTGTTTCTTCTGCTTATAAGCAGTATTTCTGATTTCTGATTGATAAAGTCCTGCTTATTGGTGTGAAGTTCTTAAGTTTATACAGTATTTTGGGCTCTTTGTTTAATGGGGAAAGATGACCATAAAATTTCTTAATGGGAAATAAAAACTATTACAAACTTGCTAAATCTAAAAAGCATGACCCCTCTTCAAGGGTTTTGCTTCTATATTTGGATGTTGCAGTGCAGAAGTTTCAGGGATCCTTGGAGCATGGCATAAGCTCTGCTGGGTTGCACGTGAAGGAATATTTATGCATAAGAGACACATTTGAAGTGGCAGAGAGTCCAGAAAAGGTACTAGTACTAACCACTGACTGGAAGGAAATAGGAAGATGTGTAAGTGGCAGGTCTGTTGAGTGCACCTCCAGCACTGTGCTGTATATCCATTTCTTCAAGAAACTCACAGGATCCTCCAAAGACGTGTGGGGAGACTCCTCAGAAAAAAAAAAAAGATGAAGGAAGGGGGAAATGAGCACTTAGCTATAATAATAAAGACAAACATGCATGGATCTGCACGTTAGACATCTCATCATGCCTACCTGAAGTGGATGAAACAGACTGAATGAGGGTTTGACATTAGGCCAGGGCTGTAGGTGCCTGTCCTATAACAGGGAAAATGGTGACCCTGGGAGTCTATATGTTTTTAACCATCCACAATCCAAAAGAGATATTTGATCTTTAGATATGAGTTCTTTTCCTCAGATCTGTATATGGATAGGATCTCTGGGGAAATAATATTTTTATATACATATAAACTATATATATAAATATGTACATATAGCCATATCCTATATGTGTGTATATGATTAAAATGCACCAATTTAGTTCTTTGCCCCTAATTCTTTTTAAAAAATATATATATTTTATTGATTTTTTTTACAGAGAGGAAGGGGGAGAGATAGAGAGTTAGAAACACCGATCAGCTGCCTCCTGCACACCCCACACTGGGGATGTGCCCGCAACCAAGGTACATGCCCCTGACCGGAATCGAACCCAGGACCCTTCAGTCCGCAGGCCGACGCTCCATCCACTGAGCCAAACTGGCCATGGCGCCCCTATCTCTTATTTTGTAAAGAGGATTCCTTCCATCCCACTGTCTCCAGAAACGCTCCTTTCATGGGGAAAGAGACTATTTTCCTGACTGACAAAGAATCACATGTGTGAGAGTTGATAACTTCCCTCCTGCATAAATTCAAGAGAGCCATTTGGAAAAGATTTGCAAATTAGCACAAACTTGAAGGCCAAGCATAGAATAAAATTAGCTTTAAGATAATCAAGTTTGAGGGAAGTGAGAGTTTTAATAAAAATGGAAAGTGTAAAGTCATAGCCCTGGTATGGCTGTTATTTCAGGACGCTATGGATTAAAGCCCAGTGGATGACTCATCATGGTGACTGCTGGTCAGACCATGAGAGGACAAGTAAATATTCAGGGAGACATATCTGAAATGTTTAGAATGATTTTTGTAAATCCTCACCTTATGAAGTAGCTGAGAATAGGGTGGTGGTGGGGGAAGGAGCTTTCATCAGGATAAGAAAGGGGTTGGGGAGGAGGAAAAGGAGAAAGAAAATAGAATTTGGATATAACTTCAATTGATTTATTGTGTGCATGGGTGCGTATGTACGTACATGTGTGTCACCAGCATTGTTTAGCTCAGGACATTTAAACAAATGGTTTGGCCTTTTGTCTCATTCCACAATCTAGGCTTGAAGCCTCAGATCCAAGAATGGACCCTCTGAATGATGATGGTACATTCAAAAAAATGAATGTGACAAAAATTTCCTCTATCTGCTTAAAAGCTTCTATAGAGCTCAAAGGTCTACAGATAAATACAGACAAAAAAAAAATTGTTCTTTTGATGTAATGTGTGTGGGGCATGAGATAAGAAAATCCACGTGCATGTGATTCTTATAGTACTTGGGTGGATCAATTTTGGGCAAATAGAAAATAAAAGATGCAGGAATGGCTCACAATAAAGATCTCACCTCAGCAAGATCATGAGTTGGCTTCTATTATTTCTGTATCTTTGGATGAACAAGAGGAATTTCAAGTGATTTCAACTTTGTAATCTTCCCAGCCAGGCCAGGCTCAATCAGGCGTGCTGGGCAAATCTCCATGAAGCCAGGCCCTAGGGTAAATCTCTGCAGGTCACTCAGCTTAGGAAAGGTAGACTGCCCCTCTACCCACCAGCTCGCCTGCAGACAGGGAAGATTTTCTTTAATATGGTTTAATCTCATGTATTTGAACGCCAATCAAGCCTTTCAAAGACAGAAGAACTCTGACTACCTCATTTCTGGTCAGTTTGAGGATAGAAACTGAGTTGTGGAAAATTGCATAGGGGAAAATATAAAAAAATTGCTAATAGATTCTGTGTTTTTAACTACCTGCTTAAGGTGGCATAAAATGAATACTGCATTTACTCATGTCAGGCATCTCTACACTGTTTCATGTCATTTAATCCTCGGAGATACGATATCTCTTTCACAATAAGGGGAATGAGAATGAACATTACTGGTCTAAGCCCCCTGCTCCAATGCTATCTGATAGGACTGCAGTTTTAGTTCTGTCTATGAAGGTCACTCCACCCCACTGCCATGGGACATCTAGTAATTGAGATCATCTTATCCTGGAATTCACTTGTTTTTGGACAAAGCCAGTACAGACTTGTACCAAATCTTGCTCTATGGCAAGTTCTATGAAGTCTCCAAACTTTGGGACAAATTACTTTTTCCGAGCTTCCTCATGTATGAAACAGAAAGGACAAATACTATCTTCACAGGTCATCACATGATTTCGACAAACTTGAGTATCTGAAAGTGCTTATGAATGACATACAAACATCCAGTGTATTTAAGGTCTGGAATAGCTTGGATTAATGTTAGACTTCAGACTGAGGAGAGGGTTCTGTAAGCTTTTCAGAGATCCATCTGGTCACAGCCTACTCTGCTCTGCCCTGCCCTTGGGCCTTTGGCCACTAGAGACTGACCCAGTCTCACACAGCCTCCAGGAGTCATCTACCTGTGAAGAGTTGAGACTCAGGCTGTTCACTGCACCCAGAAGATGGCTTTCACAGTAGGCGGGTCAGACAAGTTCTGGAGAAACCTGGCAGGCTCTCTGGATAGCCAAGGAAACATGCAAACCAAGGCACCACCCAGGATGTGTTAAAGCCTGCATTTGGATGTATAGCTATCCTGCCATATGTCAGCACCCTCCTCTTAATACAGGAAGGAACTCAAAGTTCATTTATTTCTATCCCATCATTAAACACAGTACAATGGAGTCATAAAGGTTCAGTAATCCATTCCAGTGTCCTAGCTAGAAAATAGAATTTAGTCCGGGACATTCCCTCCCATTGCACCTCCCTGCTTCCCCATTAGACCAACCTCATCTTAGGGAACATTGGGTATCTCTGTTTACATTCTCATTACTCTTCACCCAGTGCTCTCTAGCATCCTTATCTCCAATCAGCCTTTGGGAGCCTGGGAACAGCAACTCAACACAAACTTTACTTTAACCAAGATGCTAAAATGATTGACATTATGAAAGTTGAGCATTCTTGCTCTGACTAGCCTGGGAAGTTAAACTCTTTGAACTTTTCAGTCCTGTAGATAACTCTCTGAATACCCCCTAAAGGACACATGTATCCAGACCTACTGACATTCGTCATCCAGACTGGCCAACATCTGACCGTCCTAGACCAATCCTAGGGCTAAGAATATAGGACTGATTATTCTCAACAATGCACTTTTTACTAAAAGAACCCTTAACTTTTCTTTCTTTTTGGAACACTTGTCGGTTTTTGCCTAGCTGTGTTCCAAGCTTGCAAACCCCAAGACTCTTGAATAAATCTTTATTATTTGTTTCTAGCCAAAGCCTCTTCACATCCTTTCAACATATATGGTGTCAGTATCATGGCATCTGGTGCTGCCGCTGGATTCCAGCAAGGTACCTTCTTGAGCCTTTGGTGCTCTGTCAGCTTCCTGACTGCTCCTGGATTCCAGTGGTGAGTTCTATTGGTTCAGAGCTTTCATTCTTGGCTCCTCTGATACTGGTTCTAGTAACAAGCTCCCACTTTCTAAGTCTGTTTATGGAGGGACAACCACATTCATTTTACAGTGCCAGCTGATTTTATAGGCTGTCCTCTGCAAAATATTTGTCTTGATGGACTTCTGATAAGGACCGTTTGAAATTACAGTGGCCACTTTGTGTATCTTTTGAGATTCTGAAATTAATATGTTTACATGCACAATTCGAAAATCTTAGCTCTGCTAAACAAGCCGAGTGATATGTAGAGGCCCCTAAGAAATTCAATGGTTCAAAGATAGCCTCCCTCCAAGAAACAAATTTGAAACTAACTAAAGCAAATTCTGGACTAAACAAAAAGAAACTTAAACTCACTTACTATTGTGCAGCTTCCTTGGCCAACCAATAAGAAAAAGATTTCATAGGGGAGCACACAGACATACATTCTATAAACCTGTTTTCCAGGCCCACTCCCACTCCCAAAACTAATGAGCTTGCAGATAAACTCCCTGGGGCTTTTGACTGATATCTCTTTTGTCTTTTTTTCCCCCCCAGCTGTGACACCTTTAAAGAGAATTTATCTTTTTTTAAAAAAAAAAATTTATTGATTGATTTGAGAGAGAGAAAGGGAGAGAGAGAAAAACATCAAATTGTTACTCCACTCATTTATTGGAGTGGTTGATACTTGTATGTGCACTGTCCAAGGATCAAACCACAACCTTGGTATATCAGGACCATGCTCTAACCAACTGAGCTATCTGGTCAGGGCCAAAACTTATCTTTAACATAGAATTTTCAACCTCTAAAAGTCCCCAAAAGCTCTTTCCTCAGGAACTCTAGCTAGTTATATGTACAAATATTTTGGTCCCTCCTCGTCTGCCTTTTGAATAAAACCGACCAACTTAGCCAAAATAATTTAAAATTCTAACAGCCATTAAGAAATAACTTTAATTCCACCTCCAGGGCCCTTCCTTAGAGAGGGAATTCTAAACCTCTCAGGGACGTTGGAATGTATTCTTTGCTTTGCAGAAGCTTCTAAAAAAAAAACAAACTTACTTTAAAAAAACAGCTCTAGAAGAATCCCAAAAGAAACTTTGATCATCTGAGCAGGTAATGAAAAGCAAGAATCTCCTGTAATAGGCTAACAAAAAATAATTGAAGATGTAAGAAGTACCTAAAACAAAAGTCTGTAAGACCAATTGGTATTTATCCTGTCTCTCCCCGGGGATAGCTGTTGCCTGTGCCCTAATGGCTTGGCTTGACTTTTTGCCTGCCTGGTATTATTGAACAGAAAGAGTTTATCCACCCAGGGCTGGCAGAGCCAAACACTAGGAACCGAGAAATATTGCGGTGGAGAAATATTGGCTATTTATTTATGAATGACACCATCCAGCAGAACGGCAAGCTCATACTCAAAGCCCAAACTCCCCGATGGCCTTTAAGTAACAGATTATATAGGCAAAATCACAAGGCACCATGGGTTTGAGATTGGGGTTTTTAGGAGCTGATTGATCAGAAGTGAGGCAAGGATAGTGAATCATTTCTTCAGGTCTTGAGGACAGTTCAAAGGTCTATTTCAGTGTCCCTCTGTTGGGAAGTAGCCAGAGGGTTATTCCACTTCAGGGCTCAGGAGCTGAAACATAACTTAGGTCAAGATGTTATCTTTAACCTGCAGAGGTCTAGGCACTGTCTTCTGCTGCCTGGGGGTTGCTGATGAGCAAGGTTAGGTCTCTGAGGGTTGTAGAAGGAAAAAGAAAGAGATGTGGTTTCTAGAGCTAGAATTTAAAACTAAGTCTAATGGAAGTCATAGGACTCTCAGTTTCACTGGGAGGAGCAGGCTGTCAATTATTTCTTTTGGCTCTCAGAGGAAATGACCCTGGAAGATAAGGACCTGCGTAATCTCTAGAGTTCATGAAATTATTTAATATGGCCAGAAATATTTATCTACACTGAAATCTGACAGATTTGATAACTTTTTATCAGAAATTTGGCAAAATTAGAAGCTAAAAATGCAAAGCCTAGAACAACAAACCTCTCTCTTTCTCCCTCTCTTCCTCTCTCTCTCACTAAAATCAATAAATAAAATTTTAAAATATATGGAGGAAGGAGTAGGGAGAGGAATAGCTGGGAATTATATTAAGTTCTATATGAAGACTGGGCTCAACTGTAAGGGCCTTGAACTTTAGATTCATTTTATAGGCAATGTGGAAGCATTCACGGTTTTATTTTTTTAAAATATATTTTTATTGATTTCAGAGAAGAAGGGAGAGGGAGAGGGTGATAGAAACATCAATGAGAGAGAATCATTGATAGGCTGCTTCCTGCATGCCCCCCACTGGGGATCGAGCCCTCAATCCAGGCATGTGCCCTTGGCTGGAATCAAACCCAGGACCCTTCAGTCCACAGGCCAACTTTCTATCTGGCCAAACCAGTAGGGCCATTCACGGGTTTTAGATCAGTGACCCTCTTATAGTCAGCATAAAAGATACCACAATAAGAAGGAAGGGAAAGAAAAGAAGGAAAAATCACCAGGGGTCAGGTCAGTTCTTCTGCCTTAGCCTTAAAGGGAATTGCAAGGGTCCCCTTGTCTAAATCCAAGTGCAGAGCGTCCTCTATCCCGACGGACACCAGAATTTAGTAGACCTAAAGCATATCAGAAAACCACCCCACTCTCCCTCTCTCATCTTGGGCAAATTTGCATCTCCCCAAAAGGGTTTAATTTTTTTTTTCCCACTACCTCCCTCTCCACATGAGTAAGTCCTGTCCTGCTTTAAGATTCAGATCATATTTCAACTTCTTTGTGAAAACATCCCTGGTCAATACACTTATATCACTGCCCCGTCATCTTTGCTGTGATCTTATACATTCTCTATCACTATTGCATCTACTTCTGACTACTGTTACTATCACTGCCACTAACAATGATTATTTTGAATTCTGACATTGAACTAGATGCTCTGCAGCTCAGTAATCCTCATAACACCCCATCACACTTGATGCAATCATTTCCATTTAACAGACAAGAGAACCAAAGCTCAGAAAGGTTAAATGACTCACCCAACATTGCAGAACTGATAACTGGCAGAACTGGTATCCAAGTTGAGGTATTTGGGTGTACAAGCCATACTTTTCTTTACATCACGATCATAGGACTGCGTATTAACTGTTTGTGTGTATGCCTCTCTCTCGTGCTGGCATGTGGGCTCCTTGGAGGCAGGGGCTGCATCTTCCCTGGTGTGATGGGAGGGCTGGTTTGTCTGACAGTCTCTCGGTCCCCACTTGGTTACCATGGTGTTGAAAGGATGAATACATCTTGGCTCTGTTGGACAGTCTGTGCTTAATCTGAAAGGTTAACAAACTATTTATTAAAGGGACAGATAGTAAATATTTTTAGGCGTGGATGCTACAAGATCTTTGTTGTAGACTCTGCCATTGTAGCATGGAAGTAGTTACAGACAGTTTGGGAACAAATGAGTGTGGCTGTGTTTCAATACAGCTTTCTTTGCAAAAGCAGGTGCCCAGCCTGGGAGTCCTGTGTGTGTACCCATATTTATATGAACGTTATGCTTCAGAGCTTTGAATTCTTCTTTTAAGTTTTGAGGAAGTTGTAAGGGAGTAAGACTTTATTCCTACTCCTTTTAGGTCTTCAGCTGGGACTCTTATCAAAAAGAAGAATTAACAAGGGGAAAAGTGTTTATTAAGGCATGCAGCGCACATGATGTGGGAGAAACCTGCACCAAAAGTCACTCAAGTGGCGGCTGAGAATTCCAGCTTATCTAGCATCTTCCATGGGGCAGAACACATTTTTGGAGGAAGGACAGGACAAAGGGAAGCTGCCTCTGGGAAGGTAAACCGCTGGAGGAAGGTTTCTTTGCAGATTCCCCTGGTGCATCTCTGGGTTGATTAAGCGTCTGTCTCTAGTAAAAGGAATTTGCCTTTAGGTCAAAAAGGAGGAGGGTGTGTGTGTGTGTGTGTGTGTGTGTGTGTTTGCTGCTCCTTAATTGCTTTTAGCTCAAAATAATTTTTATGTCAAAGAGTATATTTTGGGATGACATATTCTGGTGTCCTTCAAAGTCCAACTTATTAATCTGTTCTTTTATGGACTGTGCTTTTGATGTCATATCTAATTTTTTTTTGTTGTTGTTTAACTCAAGGTCATAAAGATTTTTTTCTCTATATTTTACCCTTCAGTGTTTTGTTGTGTGTTTTTTTTAAATCTTCAGTACTTAGTAAAGGGTCATTCTTCTTAAGAGTGAATGAATGATTTAAATGTCTTACTTTCTTTATCTTTTACTCTCCACATCCTGGACTACCTGCCAGCGGTTCTCAACCTGTGGGTCGCGACCATCGGAAAACACATATAGCATATTAGATACTTACATTACGATTCATAACAGTAGCAAAATTACAGTTATAAAGTAGCAATGAAAATAATTTTATGGTTGGAGGTCACCACAACATGAGGAACTGTATTAAAGGGTTGCGGCATTAGGAAGGTTGAGAACCACTGCCCTAGACCATGAAGCTCAACAGAGATTTCTTGAATCCTAGTCTGATTTTTGAGCTCCAAACCTGCTGATTTGTTTGCCTACAATTTAATGATTCCCAATCATTTGGTGCTTCAACACATTTTTATTTCCGACGCTCTATTCACTGAGCCAAACCGGTTTCGGCAACACATTTTTAAATAACATACACCATTCCACTTTTAATTTACATCCCCAGCCTGATTTTAAAAATTAATTAAATTTAAAATTAATTTTCAATGTCAAATTTTCAGGAACTTCCTGAGATCACCAGAGACCATCTGGGTTACAACAACTCCCCTCTCTGAAGTATAGGGAACAGCCACTAGACAGGATGGGTTTGGACCAACCTAGACCAGAGGTATGAGATTGTGGCTGAGATAAGGACTGGGCTCTGGATATGAGACTCAGAGGTGGATCAGGCCCTTCTTTGTACATCAGCCACCTGCCACAACTGCTTAGCTCTGTATACATTTCCTTTATTTTTTAAAAAAACTGATGGTGTTTTGTACAAATACATATAACATAAAACTTTGAAAACTGAGTTAATCTGAAGGGAATATAAAGACAGAAAGTTGGAACTAAGATTGAATTTAGCAACAAAAATGTTGTAGAAGGGGTCAAAATTTAGGTCTAAGTTTTCTGGAACTCAAAATAAGGAGAAAGATCTTTTTGTTCACATCACAGTGCCCATAATATAGCAACAACCCAGTGTCTAAGAGAAGTTTGTTCCAGGAGAAGACACTGTGCAATGTCACAAGGAAGGTCTCCCTGACATTTGTCTAGCAGTCCCCATTCTGTCATCAGCTGGGATGAAATTTCAGCAGCCTCTCCACCCTGTTTCTCACAGTTCCAAAAGGAACGTGCGACTGGAAGCTCCCACCATGCTACTACCTCACCCTTTCCCATCCCTTTTATTTTTATCTACTTGCCTAGAATATTTTGAGACAATGAAAACGGAGTTTTATTCATCTTCACATTTATTCAAGCTCTTATTATGGGCAAAACAGGGCTTAAAACTGGTTTATTAATGAAATAATAATACATTTAAGAATTCCAAGAGAGGCAAGCAACCTAAAAGGATTCGATAGCTGGGTCTCATCACCTGGGACCACACAAGACCTCTTGGAGAGCGCCTGCCAGCTATTCTGTCTGATGTTGAGCTCTGGAAGCAACTGTGATGAGCATAACACCATCCCTCCCTCAAAGAGCTTGCAGTCAGGTTGGGTGAAGAACTCATACAAAGTAACACACTCCTAGTCACATGCTGCGGAGGAGGTGAAGAGGAGTGAGACATGCATCCTTCCTGGAGATTGAAAAGTATGTGAGGGTCAGGGGAGAGGGGGCAAATGAAAAGGCATTTTCGGGGGAGAGGACATGTGAACCCAGTCTAGATTGATGAGTAAGACTTCAACAGACAAGGCACAGCCAGGAATTGACATGACGTGGGGACCAGTGGGTGGGTGTCAGAGGGAGAAGTTGGCAGAGATCAGGGTGACAGGGTAGGTCAGCCCCATGGCAAACAAGTCCCCTATAAAAGTGGAGTGACACATTCCAGTTAACATGTCCTGTCTAATTATTAATAGCACCTCCTTTGGTCTCAACAACAGTTCAGATTTGGACTTTGGGGCAGACCATTCTGCATCCTTTTTTTTTTATCTCATGTCAACACCTTCATTATGCTCCAATCGCCACCTCATCCCTCTTGGTGGGATTGCTCAGTGTTGGCAGCCTGGAGGGCTGGGGGGGGACCCTTATTCCAGGAAATGAATTGAGACCATCAGAAACGGGCCTTCAGCTGCTATTGAAAGGATCCTCTCAGGCCAGAACTGAACAAACCTGAAAATGTACCCAGCTAAGAGGAGTCCTATTCCATCTCATAGCCTTACCAGTGCCCTCCCATTTAGAATTTGTGTCCCTTATTCATTTTCCCATGTTTTGGTTGATGCTCGGACATTTTCACAAGGAGTAATTAATATTTTGTGGGTGCCTGACCCACTCACTGTGAGCCCTGATCATATATCTTTGTGTATTCAGCACTCTGCTGTTACTCACCTCCACATGTCACCATCAGAATTACCTCCACATTGTGCCAGGCACTGTACTAAAGGATTTCCTGGCATTATCTCCCTTAATCCTTGTGATAATAGTCATATGATTATCCCCATTTTGTAGATGAAATAAGTTCTCATAAATGTGAGACAATTTGCCCAAGATCACAGGGTTAGTAGGCAGCTGTGCTGGGACTTCAGCCCAGGTCTGTCTGTCTTGATTCCCAGGGTCCCAATCTTACTGCAGCGGCAAATCAGACACCTAGCGTTAGTGTGACATATGTCAGATTTAGGAAGGTCAAGATGTTCCAAAGTCTTTGCATCCATTATCTCATTTAATCTCCTCAGGTAACCTAGGAATTTATTAGGCCAGCTCCATTTTGTAGAGAACCAAACTGAGGCACGAGGAATTACCAGAGGCCAGTATTTGACCCAGACCAAGCCCCTAGCTGCAGGAAGCCGTCCATTGTCTTCACTAGCAGAGAAGTGCAAACAAGGATCCCGGAACGCTGGTGAACCTTGAACCAATGGCAAGGGCCTGAGTTATGCACCGATTGTTTAGTCCTGACAATGGGGGCTCAAGCTATTTCCTGATCAAATAGTCTCAGAGTAAATCCTTCTAATATTTACTGACCTTTAAGATAGTCTATCTGTTACCGAAATTACCTGCCTAAGAGCTAGATGTGTATCCAAAGTTGAATAAAAGATTGGCGTGCCGAAACCGGTTTAGCTCAGTGGATAGAGCGCATTTGTGTGCGGCCCCTCCTCCAGGTCCTGAACCTTGAACCACGCGGGACGTGGGGGAACATACACACCTAGGTTCCTGTGAAAGCTACTTAAATTCTCTGAGCCTCAGTTTCCTCTCTGATAAAATAGTCATACCCCCAGTTCCTAACTAAAACTGTTTTGTTTTTTTTCCACAGACTTAAATGAAATTATCTTGGCAAAGGGCAAATTCTAAATACTCAGTAGGTATGAACCATTCTTCTTCTTAATATTTGAGTCATGTGACTTTCAGCAAGTCCTATAACCTTTCTGAGCCTCAGTTTCCTCATCCACAGCATGAGAGCTACATCTACTTTGTGAAGATGAAGTGAGATGCTATTGTAAAGGTATCTGCATGCAGAGGAAGTCTCTATGAATGGTACTGACCACAAGTCTGGAGAAGGCTGAGGAATGTCACCAGTCTCTACTGTGCCCACACCAGACCAGCAGGGACAGCCATCTCAACTGTCGCGACATTATTTGGATTTCAATTGCCTCATCCTCTCAGGACTCAGAGTTCGCCCCAATGCCATCTCATCAGTATCCTGATATATTCCAGTTTGTAGCTAGCGTTGAAACCCCAGGAAGTAACATGACTCACTTAGATCGCCCAGGTCAGGAAGGTGGGTTCTTGTCCACACTGTGAGGCACCTAGGTCTCTCTTAGTGCCTTCATAATTAGCTCACACAGCAAGAGGCTCATTTGGACGAGGTCTTGATAGGGGTACAGGGTAGAATAAAAATACGATTTTAAAATTTCCTTTCTCTTTCCTTTCCCACCCTTTTACTAAGAACATGTAATTGATTAATCAACAGTATATATTTAACCTATGTTCTGGCTAAGATTTTGTTGCAGTTCTCAGTTGACAGGCAGGAGCAAAAAGATTTTTAACCCAGCCCTGAACTTACACAACTAGCTACCAGGAATATGGAGGCTGATCGATTAGGACTCAGAAACACCTGGATGCTGCACACCTGATCACCGCCTGACCAGTTTCACCATCCTGTTCCAGGCACCAATAATAAAGACATTCATCAAGCCCAGACCCCCACAGGGACTCAAATTCCAGGGCTGCAAACCACCAGAAACCCCCTTATACTCCCTCCCCACCCTCCC